TTATTATTATCTTTCTCTGTTGTATTCTTTTATGTTCTTTTTATATCTTTTATATTATATTCTTTTTACATCTGAGGAGGGCTCAATCCAGCAGCCGAAACTTGTTTGTTTTATATTTTAATATACGCCGTTGCTCTTTTTATTTTATTTTATGTATCTTTGACTGTTATCTTTAATTATATATATTATGCGACGACTCTTTTTCGCCATTTATTTTGTTTATTTTATCATTATTATTTTTATTACACTAAAAAGTAATTTTACAAAACAAAGAAGGGACGTATAAACATGCATGAATATATTTAATAAATGATTTATATGTTTATGAATATTTATATGTATTTATATATATTTATACATATTCATGCATGAAACATTTTTTATCAAATACACTGGGCAACAAAATTAACGCCTGTTTACTCTGCAAAAATAGGGAAATTTCAAGATACAATAATTTCCTTAAAAATTATCGTATAGGGATGTTTAAAAAAGCATTTTACAGGTAGAAACCTCTACTTTTCGAATCGCTACTTAAAAAAACGGTCTCATGGAGATTTCATGAAGTTACACAAACATAAATGAAGATATATCGGACCATAAAAGGACCATTTTTGCTTCAACGTTGAATAAATCGAAAAAAAATTGTACGGAGCTTCTTAAAAAAGTAAATTAAAAGTAAAGGTAAAGATTCGCTCTTTCGAATGATGTAAATCGCATTTGTATACAATTTTTAGTTCACTCCGTGAAACTCCGTAAATTTTGTAAAAAATTTTGAGATTTTATATCTTTATTTATGTTTGTGTAATTTTATAAAATCTTCATGAAATTGTTTTTAAGTAGCGATCTGAAAAGTAGATGTTTCAATCTGTAAAATGGTTTTAAACATCCCGATATGACAATTTTTGACGAAGTTATTATATCTTGAAATTTGCAGCTATTGAACAAAATTAGCATCACTTAAAATCAGCGTTAAAAAAAACAAATTCAAATTTCACATATCTCCGCGAAGAATGGTCGCGAAGCGATGTACGAAAAAACATTTTAAAGCCATAACTTCTTTAATTGTAAGTAAAGTTTAACATTTTCTCTTTAAAATAATTTTTTATCATTATGCTACAATTTTTTTCACTAAGTGATTTAAAGTGAGTAATGCATCATGTAGTCTTTTCTCTGAAAATTTTGCTGCCGTATTAGCATTACCCGAGGTGTACCACGGGGAGATTACACGGTCGAACTTACACCTCATGTGTGTGATGGGAAGAAGGGTACGCAATTTAGAAAGACCGCCAACGAATTTCCAAGAACTAGAAGCAGCATTGCATCGAATATGGTGGGAAATATCTTAAGTCATAATTTTATATATAAGATTTTTCATCAATATGCATGAGCGTTTGCAAGAAGTCATTTGAAGACGAGGCGAAAATACCAGATTTTGAAGTGTAAATGTCTCTCACGCGCTTTCCCCAACACACATACGTGCACGCACGCACGCATCCCGATACGACAATTTTTGACGAAGTTATTGTATCTTGAAATTTGCCTATTTTTGCAGATAAAAGGTGTTGCGTTAATTTTGTTGCCCAGTGTATATTATATGTATTTTATAGACGTATAAATAATGTAAAACTTAATGTTGTATCGATTGCACATTAATATCTAATTAATAAAATTTCTTTTTACATGTTATTATGTAAAGACTGCATAATGGGCATCAAGTTGGAACCAACCAAATACAATCAATGTATAAAAGCAATTCAAAGGTATTTAAAGTTTTTTAAAATTCTAAATATACTTATAATCAATGTAAATCATATTAACATCAATAGATATAAATCTATTTAAATAAAATTTTTATCTGTCCAAAAGAATTACATTATATGTACAAGAAAATTTTTTGTGAAAAATGTAACTAGATATCTCCATATGAAAAGTATTTGTACATCAAATTAGACTTGCTGTATGTCGATTATGAAATTTCTACGAAAAAACAATTTCTATTTATGGAGTAAGATTTCAATTTCTTTTTATGGAGTAAGGTTTTATCTACTTTGATATTACACAAAAAAGGGATTGAGATTTTACTCCTTTGAAGTAAATTTCATTTCAAAAAAGATTAAATTTCACTTTAAAAAGAGTGAAAAGAAGGGTAAAATTACCGCATTTTGGCTTAAATTTTTTATACATGTTTTCTCGTATTTTTTGATGTATTGAATCATTTGCAAACATGTTGAAAATCACATTAAAAGTAACACGATCAAAATCTGATCTTTCATTGCAATCTTCAATATTTTCTCATTAGTTTACTTTGAAATTTAGTTTAAAATTAACATTTGCAAGTGATTTAATACATCAAAAAGTATTATACAAAAAAATATACATAAAAAAGATTTTATTTTTTAAAATTTGCTATTTTACTCAATGTTCTGAGTAATGAATAATATAGGTCAATTTTGATTAAAGTAGTGGAATCTTATGCATTTTTATTTTCTTTAATGTGTTGAATCATTTGCAAATGTTAATTTTAAGCTAAACTAAGGAAAAAATATTAAAAATTACAATTGAAGACCAGATTTGATGAAATTATATCACTTTTAATGTGATTTTTTTAACATTCTCATCAGATCAGTTTGAAATAACCGTTTTTAGCGCATCAAAATCCTACGGAAACATCTTTCTATGTTCAAAACACAAAACCTACCTAAATTTTGTCGGCCTGTAGAATCAAAAGAGTTTAATTGACATAGACGACATCAAGATAATTTAATAAATCAGTAAAAGTTTTTATATTTTATATTATTTGCACATTGCTAATCGTGCTGTATTCGCCTTGTTTGATTCTTATTGTTGTTAAAAGTCCACTGGTAGCGGATTATTAAGTAGATTTTACTTTATAAAGCAGATTTTTCATTTCTTATAATATAATATTATAGACAATATGATTGGAAACGAGACCGTCTATATAAATATTAAAACTTTAAATACAAAGCGCCTTCCCGGTCCGAGTGTTAAGATGTTGAACTACTATCTAATATACATTCAATTAAATTGAATTAATATTTCAGAAATAAATTGAGAGCCGATGAAATTATCGGATTCACACAATCAATCTGAAACAAATAATCCCCCCAAATTCTCCCAAATCTTAAAAAACTGTAATAAACTTATTGCGAAAAATATTGCCTCGGCCGGGAGTCGAACCCGGATCTCTTGCATTCCGTGCGAGCGTCCGTTTGGACATATTGTTTATAATACGCGCGCTTATACATGCGTAACTCACTATACATATTGGTTATTGCGAAGAGTGTTGCTAAGGTCTCGGTAGTCTAAAGGCTCAGGACGGAGAGTTCAACATCTTAACACTCGGACCGGGAAGGCGCTTTGTATTTAAAGTTTTAATAATATTATAGATTTTGCAGTTTTTTTTTTACTAATTTTATATTATTTTTCGATGAACACTTATTTTTAAGACAAGGTTAATACTGATACACTCTCAGAAAGAATTTCTAATATCGAGAAAAAATTATTCTTGACGTATTTAATCTTAGCTCAACTGTATAAAGTATAAAATTATAACTGTATATATATATATTAGATTAAATTTATTTTTATTCTACTCCCTTGAATAAAATAAGATCGACATCTTGTCTTAAGACGAGTATAGCACATATAATTTTAGATTTATATGTATATTTTTATGTTTAGGTTAATTTACATTAAGTCATGTAGTGTGATACAGGATGTCCCTGATCGAGACTAATATCTCGGAAAATATAAGTTTTACAGAAAAGTGTTTCAGACAAAAGTTGTAATAAATAATAATATTATTTTTCATAAAGTATTGTACTTTGCGAGTTATAAGGCTTGAAAGTTACTGTACTGCCAGCATTAGCATTACCCAAGGTGTGATTAAAACTTCTTGAATGTTGTTCAGGATCATGTCATAGATAACATTTATTAAGATCAAGATTATTGGAGATTGTTTCTCTTATTTTTTTTTGCACTGAAAATTGATTTTATGTAAAAATGAAAATAAAACATTTATTTTATTAACCTACAACTTTTGTCTAAAACACTTTTCTATAAAATTTATATAATATTTTCCGAAATATTCAGATGTCCTGATTTTTTTTAGACACCTTGTATATGTGATGCAGTATCATGATAGTGAAATTCTCGTGATGTAGAGCGCTATAGAAGTGTGAAACTGGCATCCCTAAATGCGAATTTTGACAAAATCTACATTATATTTGAATGTCTACTATTTGTCCACATTTGTCCATAAAAAAATTTTTTATCCACCTTCACTCTTCATATGAATCTTCTTCTGAGTTACGGGATTCGATTGTCCACCACCCGTATGCGTATGTCCACGCGTAATTGTCTTTTGTCCATCTTGCGAAATAAAATTATAAACAAATTAAAGTTAAACAATTCGTCATTGTATAAGTAAGTGCGTTTACTTCCGAATTATATACGGGATTGAATTGTCTTCCATACGTATGCGTATGTCCATCCTGTTTTCTTTGTATATTTTTATTTTAACTTTTTTCTAAAAGATGGATAAAAGATAATTACGCGTGGACAAACGCGTACGCATGATGGGCCATCCGAATCCCGTATGTAATTCGGAAAAAGATTCACGTATAGGAGTGCTACAATTATTTATTTATAATTTTTTTTCGAGCGTAGACACAAAATTTTTTTATGGACAAATGTGGACAATTGAATGCGATGTCAAAATTCACATTTAGGGGTGCCAGCTTCACAGACTTGCGCTTTAGGAGACACGCGGAACAAGGACCCTGAATTCAAGTCCCGGCCAAGCTCAGTCTTTCGTTGAAAAATGTAACCTAAATTTTTTTGTTAAAAAAATTAATGGAACAGCATTAAAAATACTTCATCCTAGATTTGAAAACTTTTCATTTAAGAAGAATTATATTCTTTTCTGAAGAATAAATATGATTCTATAGCGACCTTACTTTATTCTGATCGAAGAGTTATACGTAGGCTACTGGAAAAGTTTCTGCAAATAATATGAAAAAAAACATGTAAAATTCGGTAAATGGCTTTATTGTTTTTCGAAGTATTCGCCTTTAAGATCGATATATTTTTGTATACGCTCGAACCAATTTTCGAAGCATTTTTTCCACTCTAAGGCTGTAACCTCAGAAATCAGTGTATGAAATGTTTCAACAGCTGCTTCAGGCGACTCAAATCGCTCACCACGCATCTTATTCTTAATGTTTGGAAACAAAAAGAAGTCATTAGGTGATAAATCAGGTGAATACGAACAATGAGTCATCAATTCGACATTATTACTGGATAAAAAATCAATGGTTTGACGTGCTGTGTGACAGCTGGCGTTGTCATGAAGGATGATACGACGATTTCGGTTGTTCTACGCAATTCATTTATGACTTCTGGCAAACAAATTGTTGTATACCAATCAGTATTTACAGTCCTTCGATCCTCTAAAGCCACAATTGTCACATGTCCGGTATAACCGAAGAAACAAGCAATCATTTACTTGGCAGTACTGCGTAAACGAACAACTTTTGTTGATTTTGATTCATTTTGAAATGTCCAAACAGTGGATTGTTGTTTACTTTCGGGCTCATACGAATAGATCCATGTTTCGTCCCCAGTAACGATGTTGTAGACCAAATTTGATCGACCTCGGTTGAATTTCTTGAGCATTTCTTTGCTCCATTTAACACGAGCCTGTTTTCGAGCTTCGGTCAAATTGTGTGGGATCCAATGACTATAAAGTTTCCGTACGCTCAAGTGATCATGCAAAATCGTATGTATTGCTTTCATGTCAATGCCTAAGGATGTCTGAATTTCGCAGTATGTTATATGCCGGTCTCGCTCAATCATTTCACGCACAGCATCAATATTAGTGACAACAACAGTACGTGGATGGACGACCTTCACGGAATTAATCACTAAAAAAGGTACGTCCACGCTGGAATTCGGCAAACCAATTATAAACGGTCCTATTGGATGGTGCTTCATCCCCAAAAGAGCCAAATGAAGTCGATCGATGCATTGTTTCAGAGTTAGATTACATTTGTAATCGTAAAAAATCATTGCCCGAAAATTTTCACGCGAAATTTCCATTTTCTTATGAAATAACTTGTTTTAAAATACTATGCAAACAAAACTAATTAGCTTGGGTACAAACTGTCAATTGAATTAAAAGTTAAAAACGTCTAATTTTACGGATATAATAGTAGTAGAACGTTGGCGTCACTAGAAGTTCTAGATTGCAGAAACTTTTCCAGCAGCCTACGTAGTATTAAATATAGAAATCTTTTTTGTGAGTGTGAGAAAACTCATTTATTAAGCCATTAGGACTTTTTCTCGTTTCCGAATGACATATCATTAATATTCATAGCCTAGATATCAAAATTATTTATTGGATTGTGAAGACAGTAGTTCTTCACTTTTATTGAATTTATTATATCTTTTGCGTATGTTTAATTGTCTGAATTTAACCTGTTGTTTTGTATCTCTAGTTTGAGTGATGTTGCTTTATATTTCACTTTTCCTTACTTGTATAAAGTTTAAAAATTTCTTTATTTTTAAAAAATTTTTATTTAAGTTTACATTTTTTTATATGTATATCTCAATATTATATTATTTTATATAATGTTATACAATATATAGAGTTATGTACATATATTTAAATGTTATATCATCCTTTTTACTATTACAAACTGAAGAAGACTCTATATGGTCGGAAGGTATTACATTATTTTAAACATCATTGGATATTGAATTAGTTGTATGTCACATTTCAATTTTGTGATATTTTGCTTATTTCTTGGCCATGTTAATGTTATTTTTTTTTACTAAATAAACAATATTTTCTTCTTTCTGACATTGTAACATTTAATAGCTGCAACTGATTAAATATGCTTTTATATAGTTATATCTTATACATATTATATAGGTAAATTTTAATTTTAAAACGAAAAAAAATGTTTCAGGTTAAAAAAAATAGTTTCCTGTAGATTAGTGAATATATACATATATTATTTTGATATCATATTCAATCTTACTCCTTTGGGACGCAAACAGGAAAAGAATTTAAATTTATTACATTCTATTATTGATGAGGTATATATACAAGTATGATAAATATGTTTGATATTGATATTCTGCATTATTCAATTTGATGTTCATTACATAATTTATTTTTATACAGATGATACAGCAACGCATAGAATTAAAAAACGTAAATACAATCGAAAATGAGAAAAACCGAACTTGTAAGTTTATCTGCATTTTGTATAAAATCTTACCTTTATGAAAATTGAAAACGCAATGTAACAGCAAAATTGTTATTAGCTATAGTCGAAATAGTTTTCGATGCTTTCCATATAATGGTACAGGTCGATACAAGTATAAGTCTTTATTATTCATTAAATATCAAGGAAAATGAAATGATGTTTTTCTCGAATTGCGTCACTAAATCAACAGCAATCATTACAATACTATATTCTCTTTACTTCTAGAAAACAATTTCTACTTGCGTTTACTTTTAAGTTTTATGTAAAGAACATAAAGTTAAAGTTTGTCAGTATAATATGAAATAAATAATTAATCTTTTAATTCATATATACTTTGTTATATAATATAGATAGAACGTTTTTCGACGTTCAGATGGATGCATGCCGTAAACAAAATTTCACGCAACAGGAGATTCATAACAACGTAATAACAATGTTATTAACGGTACGTACGGTATAAACAATTATAATTATGAATAAATATTAAAATAAAATTATTACGTAGGCCAGTGACTCAATCTCTATTACGATGAATTTTGTTATTTTCATGTTAGCAAATTTTCCAGAC